GAACGTGGTAAGAAATAGTACATAATGGTATGAGTAAGCACACATTTTTGCCCATTTTTAGTAAATAATTGTCTTGATAACTTAAAAGTTCGGCTAGATCAAGATTTAATCCCAGTTCTTAAGAAATTGGTGGGAGACTAATGTTCCCTTTGATAGCATAAAAAAAGGCACTGGAAGAATACATTAACTTACAAAATAGTTAGAAAGGATGATTCAATTAATGATGGAGTAAAAATGTATAATAGTTCGCTTCTTTTAGATGTAATAAAAAAATAAAATGGAGTATAAATGAGTACAAAAAACCCACAAATGCTGATATTATACTCTAATCGTGAGTTTATAAAGTCATTTTAGGGTTTATTGCATTGTTGGTAGTTAGAGCTTTTCACCTAGCAGGCGTAAATCGTCAAGATTACGATTAGGAAGGTATAAGAATTATTGTATATAAAGACAATTATCTGTTATAATTGTTTAGTTATTATTTCACAGCAATGTTATATGTGAAAAGGCCTGACCTTCGTTGAAATTCATATCTGCCCTGTGACCCAAGGGCACTTGGGGCAATGTGACTGAATGTTGAATTTGTCAAGCTTACATAATGTACTCTCATGTTTTGGCTTCTTCTGTGAATGTTGATAAAACCTGAGCGAGATCGAAACTGCAGTCCACTCCAGTGGGGATGATAACAACTTTTAGGAAAGCAAGGCTATGGAAAATTCAATGGAAATGTTAGCTCAACTCATATCATTGTGGGAAAATTATTCTTCTACCAATCCTTCATCACCTTAAACGAGATAAGATGAATACTCTTTATCAAAGTTCCTGATGCTACTTTCCGGCCAGATTTCGAATAGAATAAGCCAATCAACGCCGAAATGGAACATCAGAACCATTTATTACTTTTCCCGATTGCCATATTTAAGAGATTCTTTGGACTACTTTTATAGAGTATGTCATTGCAAGGTTCCATGATTATTTGGAAAAGCAGTATCAACTCATACAAAAGAAGTTATGATAAAGCAAAAAAGCTTGCAAGTGTTCATGTATTGGGAACTCGCAGATTGCTTAGCACATGGTGAATACAGATAGACTGATCTAATACGCAATATCTTACACGATATGAAGACTTTACGGTTCAGTAAAATTAATAAAACAATCAACAGTGTGAAGAGAAGAAAATTTATTAGAAAAGTAAACAAGTACTTCTGGCTAATGCATGTACTTAAGAAGAATAAAAGAAAGCAGTTTAAACTAACAAGTGAAGAGCGGATTAATCTGGAATTTTATTCGGGCTCTAACATTACTCATTACTTTTGCATTCGTACAGTTTACATGCATCCAAAAATTGTAAATATCTCAATTTATTTAAGTGATAAGAGATTTATTCACCCCATTTCGTTTAAGGTGATAAATGACTGGTAGAAGAAGAATTTTCCCACAATGATATGAGTTGAGCTGACGTTTCCACTGAATTTCACATATCCTTGCTTTCCAAAAAGTTGTTCTATGTAGAATTAAATGGAAACGTCAGCTCAGCTCAGATCATTGTGGGAAAATTGCTCTTCTATCAGTCCTTCATCACCTTAAACGAAATTTTGTAAATACATCTCATACTACGGATTTACTGGTGGTCACGAAAATAATATTTAATTCGAAAAAATGTATTTAAACGATCAGGTAGGACCACACTCACACTCTTTTTTTTCATCGGCCTTACTCATATGTGGGTGAAGTAGCTAATCACATAATCACATAATCAAAGATCGAAAAAATTCTTATTGTATGTTGGAGGGATTTAAGCCGGTTATCTTTCTTGGTTTAGTGTACGTTTTCCTAAGCACAGAATCATGGGCGCTGCAGCATTCTATTCGCATAATCCAGCAATCACATCCCCAGAACAATCCTTTCTCCGTTATTGTTTAACTTTCCAAATTTTTACGAACTCCTTCCTTCCACTTTTTTAAGTAAAATAAAACGTGCAAAAGGCATTCACTCTAATTCTTTATGGTTATGAAGGACATGCACTTCAATTTTCACACAAATATATGATTGGGCCTCATGTTTCTATTAAATTTCACATAGCCTTGCTATCCAAAAGGTATTCTCATTCAGACTCAATTGGTCTGCAGTTTTGACATCGCCTAGGTCTCATCAGTACCCTCGGCGGGACTAGAAACATTGATATGGAGTAAACACAGTTCGAGTCTAAATGCAATGAAAGCGTAATGCCTACTCATATCATTTTGGACAAAGTTAACTGCTAGTTCTTTAAAACCTCGACAAAATAGGGTGAGTACATCTAATATAAATGGCAATCTATAAAATAAAAAATAAATAAATTGTAGAACGAAATCAAAGCCCTAATTAAAGGCTTTTTTGAATATCTACTCTCAAGTTTTCAAGAAATAAGTTTAAAATATTGAGAGTTTCAGGGAGCGAAACCACGCCTAATTTAGATGTAACTTCGTGGTTTCTGTTTCGACCAGATATCCTAAGCCTTCAGGAGGAGATGTGCCCTTATCTGTATATTCCTCACAAATAGCGAATTGTTTAACCTGAAATATGTATGCTTTATTCCCATAATAAAGTGCACAAACTCCGCGATACTATTGCATTCCACTTAACCTTGCCTACCGAAAGCCTATCTGATTCAGGGTGGAGTACACTTACGATCTCGCTCAGGTCTCATCAACACTGCCAGTGGGATTTTCTACCGATTGGAGAGTATCATGATGCTGTTGCCACTCCCGCTAAAGGCACTGATAAGACCAGTTTAGACGATGCCGAAGCTGTATTTCACCCTGAATGTGATAATCTTTTGTAAGGCTCTTCGTCTCTATGTGGGAAAAACTCAATATCCCACTTTAAATCACCGTACACGACCTAGCGTGACTAAGTTACTAATCGAGATTTGCTGATAGTCTTGCGATCAACATGTATTGCAAATAAAAATGATAGCACATCACATTCTTTATTTATTGTGAATTTTCAAAATCATTATCAAAACCTAATAGGAACACACACATTTTCCATTCTTGTCCTCGTTTTTACAACAGGCTTCTTCAACGCTATGCCAAGAATCCTCATGTCTCCGGATGGCACATGCATGGTGTGTACAGTCTAAATGAATACCATCGTAGCCGGCACTTGGTGTCTCGCAATCCAATCGGCATCCTCACGGAAGAGGGTGAATTCCAGCTTTTCCGTCACAGACTTCGTGTGCTGGTACATCTGGAGGCACCGTATGTGATGGCGCGTCCGCTTCGGTCAACTGCACCTACATACGATCTAGCAGAGACGTCTGGACCGGAAAGCAGTGCGACGAAACGAAAAGGAGAAAGAGAGGAAATCAAGGAAAAGGTTGACGAAGAAGATGGTGAAGCAAAGACGTTGGACAGTGAAGTTATGGAGAAGAGAAAGATCAAAGAAAAAGAGAAGCAGAAGAGTCAACAGAGTGGTCGAGAGGGGTGGGATAGAGAAAGAAGAAGTCCGAGAGGCTGGGAGGAAGTCGTGGCGGGCGTGGCGGAGGCCCATAGGCATCATGGGGGAGAGGCAGAAGTTGGCGACTGCCTTTTCGACTACGGACTACCATGTAGAGTAAAGGTGGGTGGTTCGTGCTTTTCATGTTTTCTTGTATTTATATTTAGTATGTATGAATAAATAAATAAATAAAAATATATCTATATAAAAGTGCTTAACATGTTCTAAAGTTTTTATGGGAAGTGTTAAAATTTTAGAGTCAAATTACTATTAATTAAGAATGGTTTCGCGGTTTATGAACCTATTAGATATTCTAAATTATCTTTCCCTAATTATCTATTTATTAATTTCGATTTTGATTTATTTATTTAATTATTTTTAAATTCTCTTCCATTATTAGTTTTATTAATTTATCTATATTTTCTAGAGCATACTGTCATTTGTATCTAGAGACCCACTGTTGGAAGAAGGCGTTGAAGACAAATTAAGTTAATTTTAGTGTTTTTCCACCTTTTTTCATTGGTT